CAGACACAGCGGTCCAAAAGCCTTTATCGGAAATCGTGACCTTTTGATCGTTGGGTGGGTATCAAATGTAAAATGTTCAGCGTAAATAATTAGCGGTTCCAGACACTTGGGTTAAAAACGTTTCTTAAAATGTTTATCCGCAGGACGAAATGGACCAAATGTATTACATTACAAAAATCAGAATGTCATGTGGCATCGAATTTGAAGATGGCATACCGGTTGAGCCCACATTTTATTGAATAGACAGTAATTTTGTGTAACAGCGAGACCTCATTTTCTCAACATCATTTTTCTAGGCCACCGTAGTTGATAGTCCAGAAATGTTCCGGTTTCTAGGCAATTTATCATGGTGGCCTAACTTTCGCAAGTTGAGTTTTCTAGACCATCATCTTTTTTTAGTTTATAAATGTCCTAACTTGCACCTGATGAGGTTTATAGGCAATTTCCCATGGTTGCCTAACTATCGCAAGCTAAGTTTCGTAGGCCACCAAAGTAAATGAGCTAAAAACCCTCCAGGTGAATGTTAGACCATTTCTAGGCGAACTTTGGAAAACTCAACGTGCGAAAGTTAGTTACCAGGAAAATTCGACTATTTTGATGGTGAAATATCATGGTGAAAAGAACTAAAAAACAACCCAAGTGAATGTTAATTCATTTCTAGGCCATCCGCTACGGTGGTCTAGAAAATTCTGTTGAAAGCGGTGTTCTAAAAAACTCATAATCTGTGAAAATATACTTGTCCTCGTGGAATACACGCTGAATTTTCTAGGCCACGACCGTCTGCATATTTACTATATTTTGATCATGAAGACTCTCAAAAATCGATAAAATTAGTTGCTTTCTTGACGATTACGTTTTGGGGGGAGTATCCCTTTCCCAAACAAAAAGTATAAAATACCTGATTCCTCAAGAGCCGCGTCTTTTTGACCAAATAAGTTGTCTTGTCCTTTCCAGCATATCTCGATTCCCGATAAGCCTTCTTGAGATAGTAAGTCTGAGTTGGTGTGTATTTTTGACATGGAATCCTGATCCCATGTTGGTAGTCAATTGAACGGTAATACTGCAGAATGTCGCTGACCTAAAAGCATCTCTACACAGTCCACCTAATAATCCCCCTTACCTGTCTCTCGGTCTTGCCGGTCAATTCCATCAACTGATCCATGTAGATATGCGCCCAACGCTGCTCGTAAATGTAGTAGAAGTCCCAGAGGACGTTTTTCGAAGTTTTGAGATGTTGCCACTGAAAAAATGAAATGAGAGTGTTTGGAATTATCTGGGAATCTTACCATTCTGGTTTCCATTAGGGTAGAAGAAAGGAATGAGGGGCTTGTGGGATGGGAGACCGATAAATATTCAAATGATTGATTGTCTGGGGGTTGGCTCCTCGTCAACCTTGTCCCCAATCACTTTTATGATCGTTAAATTGACTCATAGGGGAATCAGACATGTAAGAATGAAGAAAAAGAGAGACGCAAAGAAAAACGTTTCGAATCTTTTTGCAAACAACTACAGTATCTTCAATTTGCAAGTGTTTTTCGTTTGTCTGCAAGTTAAGGGCACTGTTTTTGTTTGCAAAACAAGTGTGGACCCAAAAAATAAAAATTAATAATTTTCTGAATTTTCTCGATTTGACAAAGGTTTTTACATATAATTCATTTGAAGATTTTGGAAAATAAAGTTTTCCAAAATTGATAATTATCCCAGACTGACCACTCCACAAACACTCTGCTTGTTGGTGAACAGACTGAAGCGACTTCCAGTTTTTCTGAAAATTCAAAATTTTATATACGTCAAAATTTTTGCTTCTAACTTGATCCCAAAGAATTTGGTTCCTACAAATTTTCGATACGGTGGAAAGGTGATTATCAGCACTACTACGTTCAGTGTCGAGTGGGAGCAAGCAATGACAAGCAGGTATTCGACGATTACTGTAATGTTTAGAAAAAAATTTTATGAAGAGTTTCAGATCAGATCAGTTGGTGGCCTAGAAAACTCAAATTTCAAAAGTTAGGCCATCATGTAAAAATGTCCTAAAAATATCAGTTGAACACAAGTTCATTTCTAGGTCATTTACAATGCTGGCCTAGAAAACCCGACCTGCAAAAGTTAGGCCACAATAGCAACTGGCCTAGAAAACTCAACTTGCGAAAGTTAGGCCACCACGGTAAGTGACCTAGAAAACCATCCAAATGAATATCAGGTATTCTTAGGCAATTTGCAGTGGTCGCCTAGAAAACTCAACTTGTGAAAGTTAGGTCACCATTTGAAAATGACCTAGAAAACACACCAGTGTCATCATCAAGCCATTTCTTGGCCACTTACCATTTTGGCCTAAAAAATCAGGATGAGAAAGTTAGGTCGCTCTATTCCACGAAAGAAGTCAAACTAAAACTATTATGATATTACTTACACTGTGCTCCATTTGCCCCCATCAGAATCACAAAAACAAAAAATATCGGCGGCAAAAATATAACTGACGACGTGGAAAACTGTGCCAAAAGACAAAAAATCGCGGATTTGTGCTTCTGATAGGTTGACGCCGACATTTTTGTCTTCAGAATCCTTAACATTCTGGAAATGTTCAGAAGCACCAATACTAGTGTAAAAAACGCCGCGATTCCTCCAACCAATGAGTAGATCACAAATTTGACGAAATATCCGGATGGATCGTAAATAGAGAAGTTGGGAAGAGAGCGGAAGCCTTCGAGATATGTTGGGTATTTCTGAATTTTTTTCATATGGATTTTCAGCCTCTTCACAAGCTTGCCTTCTTCACAAGTTCAAATTTTTCATCTTCTGGAACATTCAACGTCGCATAAATTCCTGTGACACTTATTGTATAAATGACAAAATAGATAAACATAAAAAGAAGCAAAATATTAGGAATCACAGATTTCCTTGAAATTCCTGCTATAGCTTGATGCTTCTTGACAAAACAGGCGATCATACTGCCGATTTGATAGATAAGGAGGAATATTATGCCGCACTGAACCCTCTCATTTTGAGCTCAATTATCTCAGTTCCTATGAAAGATATCAAAAACTGGCAAATTTAGAAAGTGTTCATGATATTATGATAAACGTTTTATTAGTTGATCACTTTTTGATACATTTCGAAAGAACCGAGATAATTGAGCTCAAAGTGCAGGGGAGCTTTTGATAGACCATTTACGAAATCTTTGTTCCTGTGAAAATTATCAAAAAGTTGTAAGCTACAATACTGTGTAATTTTTAGCTTTTTAATTCTTTAAAGGGGGACTCCGGCCAAAAATTTTTATTGCATCAAAATGTTCGAAAAGTTGTCTATTTTCCCAATATTATAGCGAAAAAATTCGAAAAAAATCCGAAACCCCCGAAAAATGCCGTTAAAAGCGGAAAATTTTCAAAAAAAAGTTGCTAGGAGGGACGAGGATTTGAATTCCCGCGCAGTGAGAAACCTAGGCCACGGCGCCTGACAGCCGTTTTTTCA